GCTGACTTTGGTTGGTATCTTTCACAAGCTTTTAAATGCAGCTCTGAGTACAATCTATGCTGAGTCATGTGAGACCTCCTGGCAAATTTTTGAACCTGGGGGTAGATCTTGGGAGCCTCCCAACATCCACACCCACTCACACTCCATTGGCCAAGGCAAGTCACAAACCCGAAGTCAAGGAGTGCAAAAACATACTTTACCTCATTAGTGAAAGGATCTGCAAAATCTCTTGGCAAAGGCCATGGATATCAAGAGGGTTACGGACTGTGGCTATGAGTGCTATCTATCACGACTTCTGTAAATATGGAAAGAAATTAGAACAGTCCTTAACATGTTGGATACGGTTAATAAATCATTATTCCACAAAGCTTTCCCAGATTTTTCTGGTGTATTTTGATTTCTCTCTCTGATCCTTTTCAACACGTCACTTACCCATACAATAGAACTGAGCCTTGATTACATAGTTTTATTTCAAATTCCTTACAAAAATATTACATCCCCCAACAATACTATCAACCTCTAAGTAAAGTATCAGATTCCCTGAGTTTCTGGGCACCATCTTGAAAGCCTTCTATGACTAAGTCTGAGGGGAATTGACTGTTGTGCTAGGCAAGATCTCATGGAGCCATGGCTAATCTCCAGATTTGCGTTTATTATGTTTTGGATGTGAGGTGTCCCCAAAAGCTCATATGTGAGACAATGCAAATAGGTTTAGACAAGAAATGATTGGGTTGTAATAGTCTTAACCCAATCTGTAAATTAACCCACCAATGAGATTAACTGGGTGGTAAATAAAGGTAGATAACATGTAGCTAGAGGAGATGGGTCCCTGGAGGTGTGCCTTGGGGTATATATTTGTATCTGTCAAGTAGAATCTCTCTCTGCTTTCTGATCATTATGTGAGCTACTTCCCTCCACCACACTCTTCTGCCATGATGTTCAACCTGACCTCAAGTCTTGAGGAATGGAGCCAGCTGTATGTGGACTGAGACCTCTTAAAAACGAGCCCCCAAATAAATTTTTCCTCCTCTACAATTGTTCTGGTCAGTTCTTTTAGTCACAGGAGTGAAAAAGTTGACTAAAACAGTGTTCATTCATGTAATGAATGTTTGCTCATGTTTTCCAGGCAAACAACAGAGAACAAAATGGACAAAACTGAGTTTACATTCCAGTGATCCTGCACAAGGTATTGATCAAACGCTTCAGAACTAAGGCATTCTAACCAAACCAGCAAGAACTCAAACTATAAACCAAATGCCAACATACCATTTTTAATGGAGATGGACCTTTCCAGTGATTAAAATATCCCTGTGAACATCTATAATTAAGATTTTATTTTTAAGTATTAAATATTTTTTTTAAATTAAGCTACATCTTGCCACCAATAGCATCTTAAAATTGCTGCGCTTTTTCTTCTTGCTTCCCAAGGTTGAACTGCTCCTTTGCATCAGCTGATGCTCAAAGTATGGAGATGAATTTGTGCAAGAGTCTCTTAGCAAGGTCTAGAAGTGGCACATATCACCTCCCACTCACTAGCAGGAACTCAGGTACATGAACATCGAGCTGTAAAGAAAACTGGAAAAAGTAGCTGTGTGCCTGAGTAGAGGAAGAAATTGTTAGGTGAAACACCAATCTCTGCTATACCCCTCCTGGGAAGGGCAAGAAAAAACATGGACATTTCCTTTTTAGAGTGCTTCCTTAGCTGGACTTCCAGCCAGCTGCCATTTTGTTGGGATATACTTAATACAGATTTAACACTATAGTTACCAAGTTAGAGTTCTCTTTCACATTCAGTTCTGCCTTCTTCATATTATAGTCTGATTCCCCTGATCCTATTTTTGCACAGCTCTGTCTGGAGTTCCATTTTATCTCAATTAACTTCTGCAGACCACCTAGGTAATCTAATATGTGAGCATTTTTACTAGTTTAACACCTAGTATGCCACCTGTGCCCAAGTTCTGGGACACTCAATTGAGCACACATCTAAAAGATACAGACAACAAATTTTTCTAGAGATGCAGAATAGCATACATAGTGCTCAAGAACATCAGCCTGTAGCATCCACCCACCTGGGTCAATTCCCTGCTCTCACTTGCAGTTAACCTTGAGCAAGTTGCTCATCTTTCTGACCCACCTCTTTGGATAACTAAGTGAAATGAATTAAAAGAAAAAGATGCAGTAAAAGATCTTAAAACGGTGCCCAATACATAAAAAAGCTCTTGGAAAATGGCAGTTGTTACTCGTTATTGTTAAAGATCACATAGTTCCAAATGCTTCTACCCAATGACTAAATATTCTGCCTCTGGTAGAGATTCTTTTTTTCAATATATATATTTTTAGTTGTAGATGGACTCAATATCTTTATTTTATTTATTTATTTTTATATGGTGCTGAGGATCAAAACCAGTGCCTCACACATGCAGACCACCTAGGTAATCTTATATGTGAGCATATTAGTGCTCTTCCACTGAGCTACAACCCCAGCCCTGGTATAGATTCTTATTCCATCAGATAGCCAAGAAGTCTGTATTTTCTTTTTAATGGTGTGTGGTGTAGAAAGCTGTTAACCTCATGGCAACTAAGAAGTAAAAGAGAAACAGAAAGGGCCTGGGGTTCAAATATTCTCTTTAAGGGTGTAACCCTCAGTGACCTAACTTCCTCCCATAAGGCTCCACCTCTGAAAAGTTGCACCATCTCCCAAGAGCACCACAGGCTGTCAATCAGGACTTTAATACAAGTGCCTTTGGAGGACACTTTCCAAACCATAGCAACCAGTTTTTCTCCTTCCTATCCCTTTCTTTGGTCCCTGTTTTCTCTCAGTGACCTTGCAGCAAAGCAAATAGGTCAGGTGCTTCTGACATTTTCTTTTCCTTCAACACACCTTCCCAGTCTTCTTCACTTTAACCTGTGAGAGAGTGGGGTCAAAGCTAAACTATGAGTGCCTCAAATGCTAATAACCAACCTTTACCTCTTTCACAATGTCACCCAGGCCAGACTGGTTTACTTTCAAATATATGCAAATGTAAATGTATTTCAAACTGGGCACAGCCATTGTACTTAAAGTGCCCATGACCATAGTCATACATCAGAAAGCTGGTGCACCTCAAATGCTTGTTGATTATTTGACATAAGTAAGGCAGGACTCTAAGTCTAGATATCCCCTTGTACATAGTACCAGGGCCACCAATTTGAAATATGAACTTGTTGAGAGCCACAGCCGAGTCAGAATGACGCCTGGCATATTGCCAGAGGGAATGGTTGAAAGGTGACGCCATCGAACCATTGAGATGATGATTTGAGTTAAGCTGTATATAATTGCTGTGATGCTGGATTGATTGAGTTGTATATGGACCCTGCTCCGGGGGAATAGGGTGGCTCCGGGAATCTGCCTTGGGCGCCTGCTACTTTGGAGTTCCCGTGGAGTTCTGGGGGGGGGGGGGGGGGGGATTGGGCACGTGGAGCCAGGTGAAGGGTATGTGTTCCCGAGGAGTGTGTGTGCAGTGCCGGTGAGAGTTGGGAAATAAAGAGTTTCTGTTTGAACCTACAAGGCTGTGTGGCGGCTCGGTTATTTGTGCCCAGCCAGACTGCGGCATGAACTAACAGACCAAACCAATAGTCATAAATCTGTGGTGGATTGTGACCAGTTCCCCAGCTCTACTGCAATATCATCTAAGGAAGCAAATTATATTAAAAGAGGATACGTATGAGGAAGCATTTCCTCTGTGTGTGTGTGTGTGTGTGTGTGTGTGTGTGTGTTTGATTTTGGAGATAATGGGTCAATACAGTATCATATTGAATAGCAAAGATCTAAAAAAATTCCCTGTCTATAGAAAATTCCAGTGGGTCTTATGATGGTTAAGTTTTGTTAATTTTGAGCCAAATACCAAGATATTTGGAGGAATATAATTCTGGATATTTCTGTTAGGGTAGCTTTGGATAAGATTTACATTTAAATTGGTGGACTTTAGGTAAAGCAGATTGCGGGCATAACATGGGTGAGCCTCATCCAATCAGTTGAAGGCCTGAATAGAATAAAACTGGCTTCCCCAGCACAAGGGGAATTCTTTGGCAGATGGCCGTCAGAGTTAGTTATCTCCAACTTGGGCTCTTCCAGGTCTTACAAACAGACTACCTTTGAATATGAACAACTCTCTCCCAAGTCTCCAACCCACTGGCCTATCTCCTCAGATTTGGGACTCACCAAGACTCCACAGGAGAGCCAATTCTTCAAAATCTCTTTCTATGTATTCATGAACACATCCTGTTCATTTTGTTTCTCTGGAGAACCCTGACTAACGCCGCCCCTAAGTCAAACTGTGCCCTTTTCTTTACTACGGAATACTAATAGCTTTATGCCCACTGGCTTTCAGACATGAGCCAGGGAGTTGAAATTTTTGCATGTTTTTCTCAGATGCGTAGGTAATATAGCTCTGGGTGTCTTCCTTTGCTATGGCCAGTTAAATAGGAACTGGGGAAAGGAGAAAATAATCGAACACATTCTGTAAAGATAGCTGATCGTGTAAAAACACTGGCACTGTAAACCCACCTGGCATCATTTTCTCTTCCTTTCATACAATATTACTTAGTATTTGTGAAGAGGAATGTTGATCTGCACCCTATTACACATATTCCTGCTTTAAGAAAGCAAGCAAAATCTCCCTACCCTGAACCACAAGTACCTCCAGCCATTAGAAAGCACAGCTTTGCATTGACTCAAAGCGCGGGAGCTATCAGAAGACTCGCCCCGCCCCTCTCCCCGCCCCCTGTACTCTCCACGCTCCCAACTGGCGGGAGGAGGACGCCCCCAGCCAATCAACGTTCCGCAGGACCCTCCTCCCGCGCGTCTTTCAAAGGCCTTCTAAGAACCAATGAGCGGTTAAAGGCTAAGCCCGGGCACCTGGAGGCGGAGCAAACAGCAGGGCCAGGATTTGATTGGTTCCTAGAAGACGCCGCGCCCCACCTCCCAGAAGACATACCAATGAGGTGAAGGGAGAGGCGGGGTCCGCGCGGGGCAGCGACTGAGACGCGGGTGCTGAACCGGGAGGTGGCACTGGTCAAGGCGTGCGGCGGCCAGCGATGAAGCCGGTGAGTCGGGTAGGATGGGACTTGGAGGATCGAAGCTGCAGGGACCGGAGCAGTTCTCTAGGCCTTTCTGAGACTGGGCGTACAGCCCGGGATTGGTCGCGGCGCGACTCGCGCATTAACCGTCCTGTGGGTCGGGGAGGTGTCGCTTCCCCGCACCGGCAACAGTGACCGCTGTGAAGGAGCCAGATCCCACAGACCTGGGTTCGAGGTGGACGAGGGAAAGTCAGACACTCACTGTGTGCCTGCTGTGGTCTGTCACCTGTGGGTTTCTTTTTTTCTTTTTTTTTTTTTTACCTGTGGGTTTCTTATAAACCTCTCGACAGCCTTGCAAAAGAAGGCCAAGCCCACGGTTATGGAGAAAAAGGAGGCATAAAGAGTTAAGTGTTTCATCGTATTAATAAGCGTGATATCCCACCCCCGAAAGGTGTCTGGAGGCTGCCATGAAACCCCTAGGAAAAATCATGAATGCGAATATGTTGCCCCGGCTTGGGGGCGACATCACAACTGCCGCCATCCCCCAGGAACACTTGGCATTGCATTCCTTTCCCTGAGATTCAGAATCACTGGGGCCAGGGAAGCAGAAATGTCCAGCCTGATTAGGAGAAGTAGAGCTAATGGCCCACACAAATTTAAAATTTTATTAATCAAAATTGCTTTAAAGTAAAGGAAAAACAGACGTTGGCAAGGAGCTGGAGTCCCACCTTGGTTGACATCCTATTGAAGGGCCTTCTTTGAGGTTGAGTTGATTACACTATAGATAGATCCAAAGCAACTCAGATCTTAAATCAATCTGTCATGTGATCTTATAGTAATAAACAGGATCATCATAGAACATAACTTAAGAGCTAAGACAGGGCATTAGGTGTTTACACTTGCTAATCCCTGTTTCCATGTGGGGAGACATCAGCTGTCCTTAACTCCTGGCCTCTTTCTCCATTTGTCCCCAGAAGGGAAGAGTAAGTTATCTGATCTTTGAGTTTCGGAGGAACTGAACACAAGTAGCTCAACCTTTTCTTCACTTCTCTCTCTAGATCTATGTGCCTGCCTCCAGAAAGTGCTTTCTGGACTACTCTTTGTCACACAGGAGCCCTGGGTTGTCCATCAGTGCCTGTAACTGGGAAGATTAGTCTAATTATGGGGTGGAGATGTGGCAAGCTCACTCAACCATAGCTTTAAGCTACATCTTTTGCTTGACAATAACATTTTGATTTCCATGTACCAATCCAATGTCTTATTTCTCAGCTTGTTCCAACTAGGGAGCAGGAAAAGGGTATTTTTTTTAATTGGTCTTATAAATTCATACAAAGTATCAAAGCTTTCATGTAAAAAATTCTGCCTTCAGGATTGAGTTCCACCTGCTTAGATCAGCACACTGGGGCCATCTCAACAATTCTAGTCTAGTGATTCGTAAATTTGGGGGCAGGCTAGTTCGTCTGTACTCCACCCATCCACCACCAAGCTGCCCCCTATATAGGAGTCATTTTTTAAGAAACTACTTCGCTAGCTTCATCTCCTCTGTTTCATCTCTATTTCAACATCACAGTTTCTGAATACACAAACCCTTTCTCTTTTGTCTTAATTTCCTAAACTTCCTCTGTATCTGCCTAGAAACCTCTTGTTCTTCCTTCAAAATTCAGAGTAAGCATCTCTGTAAAGACTTCTCTAGTTCCCTAAGTTGTCAGTCACTCCCTTTTCCGCTCTGGCATGTGGTTTCTTCTTCCATTTTAGCACTAAAACCGTTCTCCTCCTGCTGGGTGTGGCACAGGCCTGTAATCCCAGTGACTCAGGAGGCTGAAGCAGGGTCAAAAATTGAAAACCAGCCTCAGCACTTTAGGCAGGCCCTAAACAACTTAGTAAGACCCTGTCTCAAAGTAAAGTGTTTCTTTTGTAATCTATACACATCTGTCCCTACAACTACACTGAAGGCAAGCTATTTACTTTATGGATCTTCCTATCTCTAGAGTTTTGGCCACTGAAGGTGTCCAAGAAATGCTTGTGAATAAGTAAACAAATCTCTTCACTTCATATTTAAGGAAGACACATCCAGGATAAACTGAAGAGTCTTGTGTACAATGATCTTTCCACTATGCAGTGCTAAGATTATTAATAGGATGGTAAAATAGTAATCATTTATTATTGATATTGCTGATGTCTGATAGTCCAGATTGGTGACAAAATAAATAGAAAATATGAATTCGGTGGGTGTTTAGGCCAGAGTCAACTATGCTACAGCTATATATAATTTTTTTTTTATAATTTCTAACATAACATTTCTTTTGAAGCCTATTTCAATACAAGCAAGTGAGTTTGACTCCTCAGATGAAGAGCCTATTGAAGATGAACAGACTCCAATTCAGATATCATGGTATGTTAGCATTTCTAATCAGTGTTGTACTCTTTGTAGAACATAATTCATATGTTGAAAACATTCAGTGATTATCTTCTGATTATGTAATTCTAATCTTTGAACTCTGCAATTTATAAGGCCCTTTTGTTCTCTTTATTTACAATTGAGAAAATCTTAATAGAAGCAAGTAAATAAGGAGTAGAGGTAGGGTTTTTTAAATGATCTCTCACCAAAATCTACTTATTCTTTTAAGGCCAAAGAATAGTATACCAAATGTAGGATGAGATAATTTTGGGGAAGGGGGGCAGGCGGGTACCGGGGATTGAACTCACAGGCACTCGACCACTGAGCCACATCCCCAGCCCTATTGTATTTTATTTAGAGACAGAGTCTCACTGAGTTGCTTAGGACCTTGCTAAGTTGTTGAGGCTAGCTTTGAATTTGCAATCCTCCTGCTCAGCCTTCTGAGCAGCTGGGATTAGAGTCGTGCACCACCACACCCAGCAAGATAATCATTTATTATTAAGTCAAATCTTAGATAATATTTCAACCATTTGTCATAGTAATTCATCTGTCAGTAAACTCTGTTTAAGATAAAATCCAAATATATATAATAACCAAAAAGAATTTCTATAAAAAAATCAACTTCCAAGTGTTAGCAAGTGATTTATGATTTACCAGATTCTCTATAACCAAAAAATGCTTCCTCTCATCCCTGTGAATGTAATTGTCTCTCCTCAGGAAAGCACCATCTCTACAGTAGGAAAGGAGTACTAAATGGTCTCTGATGTTCTGTTGTCCTGCCATCAAGTAGCATTACCTTTCGTTCCCCTTTTCAGCCCTTTTTAATGTCATACAGTATTTATATCATGCGTCCTGTTTTCCTCTAACTTGATCTCCTGACTTGAAAACAGGATGAACCTCTGTCCCTAAGTACTGCAAACTGGGAACAGATAATATTTTATTTTAATCAAAATCCATTACCACAGGAATGGGTAGCCATGGTTGTCATTATATGAAATCATATCTGTTAAAATAGTTCTACAAAAAAATCTTAAAATAGTAATGTAAAATGAATGCTAAAGATGGAATTGTCAGATGGTCATACTTCAGTTCATTTATCTAAAGTTACAACAGATCAAGCACCCCTAATCTGAAGTCTGAAGTGCTCTAAAATCCAAAACCTTTGAGTGCCAACATGATACTCAAAAGGTTTTGAATTTTGGAATATTTCAGATGTCAGATATTCAGATTAGGGATGCTCAACCAATAAATTCTATGCAAATTAACACAATTCAAAAACTCCAAAATCTGAAATACATCTGGTAACAAACAATTTAGATAAGGGATATTAAACCTGAAATACAAAATATCTCAAATAACATCCCATAGAATAACTTAAGTACCCTGTATACTGCCGGGGATTATCTTTAAAGTAAATTTAAACTAACATACCATTTAAGACTTAAATTCTAAGAAAGCAAATGCTAAAGTTTTAAAACTTCTCATTTTAAATCTTTCAGTCTTTCTAAGCTTTTTTGTGATCCACCTATGGATATAACTATTAATTTTTGCTTTGTGACTTCTGTAAAGTTTTAAAACACCCTTATTTGGTGACAAGTATTCATGTTGGTTGAGTTTCCAGTTACAGCTTGTGGGAAATGGTGGGTGGATCCTGGGGATTGAACTGAGGGCCTTGTGCATGCTAGGTAAGTGCTGTACCACAGAGCTATATCCCCAGCCCTTTTTATATTTTAAGAGAGGGTTTTGCTAAGTTCCTTGGGATAGGCTCAAACTTAACAATCGTCTTTGCCTGAGCCTCCCCCCAAGTAGCAGAGATCACAGGTATGCACCATAGCACCTTAGCCATTTATAACTTTTTTTAAAAATGAACTTGTTAAATTTTTCTTTTCAGGCTACCTCTGTCACAAGTGAATTGTTCTCAGTTTCTTGGTTTATGTGCTCTGCCAGGTAGGTTATACTACAGTTGGCTTCCTATTCATATATTTTGGAGATCTTTTTGACTGTTAACACATTATTCTGTATACTGAGCAATGAAAGAATCTCATAGATCTAGACTGGGTAACTCACTTTGGAAGCCTTCATGGTTGGTTATAGATAAAGGTACACAGATCCATTCTTCAACCCTTCCAGAGCTGCCTTCAGAGCTTTATATTTCTGATTTACCTATCTTAATAAAACTTAATCCCTGGGGTACAAATGAGGCTGAGGACCACAGCCAGCCACTCATCACAGAAACACAGAATAAAGAGTGCTGGCTTAGGAGTTTCTTCAACTGGAATCTATGAATTCTTGTAATTATGTTCCGAAGAATCTAAGAAATTAAAATTCACATTCAAAATTAAATTGAAAGTAAATGGTCACATGGAATGATTTTCTAAAAGTAGCTATATATGTGTTTAAATGTGCTTGTTATATATTACCAAAAACTGACTTTTTTTTTACTTGCATTATTACTACTTATAGGTTGTAAATTTAAAGATGTTAGAAGAAATATTCAAAAAGATACAGGTAGGTGTAATATGAGACAACCATACTAATAGTTTAAAAAACATTGAAAGTCTCCTTATCAGAAGGAACAAACTATAGTCTCTTCTCAATCAATGTTTGATACTTCAAGTTTCAAAAATAAACTTATTCTAATATGTGAAAATGTATTTGTGAAAGACACAGAGAACTCATCATTTATCTCAACATGGCTTTGCTTTTCACCAACTGCTGTATATTATACATAAAAACTGTATTTGAGGTTAGTATATATGATAGAGGATGAAATTATATAAATAGGAAACTGACTTTTTGTACTATCTAGATCTTTGATCATTCTTTTCCTTGCAGACTTGACTGCGGTAGTAGGAATTAATCCCAAGCTGGGAACCCAGAGGCAGCAATGAAACCATCCATCCTGGATAGGAAATGTAGAGCTAGCATCTAGGGTGAAATCAGAGTGGGAACTGGTTTTCCATGCCCAAGGACATTCAAAACACTATAACTTCAAGTCTAATAATAATTTTCAAAACCTAATCTATCCACATTTGGAATTTTCATATAATACAATACTTATAAATATGAATCTTTTCAAAATATCTTATTCTGATTGTCCTGGAATATCTCAATCCTATTAGTGCCACCAACATCTTTATACTCCAAAAAATAAAGAATGTATGTATTGCTTGACCCTGACCAGTATAGCTTTTTTAAACCTTAGAATCTTTTTCTCAGTGGTAGAAAAAGGGCACTGGGTTCAAACCTCAACACCACATAAAGGTATTGTGTTCATCTACAACTAAAAAAAAAAAAAAAAATTAAATCTTTTTCTGGTTGTTCTAGAATATCAGTTTGCTAATGTACTTTAATTTGCTCCTTACCTCCCAAAAAGACTTAATGAGGCTAATAGATGAGTTGACCCTTGCAGTTATTTATAAAGATTTTCTGCTTTAGACAAACCTACTGTAATAGGAAATTTCTGTTTTAGAGAACATTTAAGTTATAAGCAAAATATAATTTAAATCATTGGTTCAAGACCAAACTTGTACATTTTGGAATGCCCTATTAATTTAGTATCTTTCTTAAAAGGGTTTTCAATTTTTCCCCACTTTGGTGGTTTGTGGATATAGCCATGGGTTCAGCTGTCAGCATCACATAAAAACAGGCTTGACTCTCCTTGCATTAGTTACCATGGCATCTCCTCAGAGTCCTTTCTAGGACAGTCTGTAGAAATTTTCTGATGTGTACAAAAAGCAAACAGAATTACTTACCCATTTAAAAATGCTTAGATATATTAATAAATACTTGTTTACCAATTAAAAAAATATAATAGTTTTATCAGGAGCAGCACTGTCTAATAAAATATAATGGAAGCCATATCTATAACTACATTTTCTAGTTGCCACATTAAAAAAGTAAAAATAATTTTAACAATACCTTTTATTTAGTTTAGTATATCCTAAATTATCATTTCACCAGCTTTTAAGTATAAAGCAAATAATTAATGAGATAGTTATTTTTGTGTGCTTAGTCTTTGAAATTAGGTATGTCTTTTACAGTACATCTCAGTTTGGACTAGCCACCTTTCAACTGCAGATCTAGAGGGTCAAGAGAAAAGGTACTTTGTACCTCAGTGGCTAAATGTCCTTGGATTTGGGGGCAGGGGCAAACTTAAATTAGCCAAGATTATTTATTCTGAACTAAATGCTCTGGAGTGAATTGCCCTAAAGAAGTTCCCATGCATAGAATTCGTATAGTAATATTTCTTGGTTCTTATAGTGAAAATAACTAAATAATGTAATTAATACAGTTAATGCTTTATTTTCTAGAGACCTGGTCCATAAAATTAAATACACAATGGTGTGGTACAGAGCAGATATGAGGAGTAATACAAGAACTCTGGCTAGAGGTTTTATATACAATGTTTGCGATAAAATAAACAGAGTGATTAAGTAGCAAGTATGGTTGATGTGGGGAGGAAAACAAATGTGCTATCCATTCCTTCTCAAGAGTTTAATAGTATTAGATATTTTCAGATTCATATTAAAGCAGTATTATAAACTTTTTTTGCAAGAAAAGCAATACACAATATAATTGTCTCATCTTGGAATTCAGTACATAGTATTTTGACTTATATGATTAGATTTAATTATTCAGCATTTCAAATTTATAAATTATCACTTGTTACTAGTTTGGCTTAAGAAACTTAACTCCATATTCTCTCTCTTGACCATATTTAAATTTGTAATGTTTCATATGTGTGTGTCTGTGTGTATCTTGGTCTGTTGGCAGAAGAACTAAAGAGCTATGGTATACAAGACATATTTGTTTTCTGCACCAGAGGGGAACTGTCAAAATATAGAGTCCCAAACCTCCTGGACCTCTACCAGCAGTATGGAATTACAACTCATCACCATCCAATCCCAGATGGAGGGACTCCTGACATAGCCAGCTGCTGTGATATAATGGAGGAGCTTGCAATCTGTCTCAAGAATAACCGAAAAACCTTAATACAGTATGTTCTCCTTTTCTGCATACATTACATGAGAAATGTCCCAGTCAAAATGGTTTCTTAAACTGTTCAGTTATTGCCCACCTCATATTTTTATTGTAAAGAATTAAAGGACATAATGCATTGAAAGTGCTACCACAATGCCTGGTACAAAGTAAGCACTCAGATATTTATTGTTACTGCTTTTCAAGAGTAAGGACAAGAAATAAGTTTAATTGGAAATTTTTAGAATAAGGTCACAGGCCCCCTGCCCTTATTTTTGTCTTAGACCTTAAGTTGCAATTTGGGGACCACCACCACAAAAAGTGGAGCATTATTGTTATATACTATTCACTTGTCATTTAGGCTATCAGTTAGTTGCTTAGTTATTTTCAGTAGCAAAAAAAAAAAAATTTTTTCAAAATTTACAGCAAATAAGTCATCTCTAAGCAATGAGCAACTTAAAGAATATGACTTGAAAATTGTTTGATATGCATTTGTTACCAGAATGAAATGGGACTGAGTCAGTGGCTATAAAAAAAATACAAGCTGCTGTTATAAATGTTTAAAACAAAATAAAATGGGTTAAGGAAAGGGAGCGAAATGGGTTAAAAATGAATGGAGAGGCTGGGCAGAAGGATCGCGAATTCAAAGCTAGCCTCAGCAACTTAGAAGGTCCTAAGCAACTCAGCAAAACCCTGTCCCTAAATAAAATACGAAAAAAGGAATGGGGACGTGGCTTAGTGAGTAAGCCCCCCTGGATTCAATCCCCAGTACCAAAAAAAAGAAAGAAAGAAGTAGCTTTGGATAAGGGTACAAGAGAGTGGCAATGGATAGTAGGTTGTAGCATTAGAAATGGTACTGTGGATGATAAACCACAGATGACTTTCCAGAAGTGAGACACAGAGCAAAGGAGAGCTAAAGCTAGTCCTTCACTTTGTTTTTTGCTCATTCTTGTAACTTAATAAGCCACCTCATTTTTACTGAACAAATTAGAGCATTAAAGTGTGATTACCTCAAAAACTCTTAAGGTACTTCAAGTCATTGCTTTGAGCCCAAGGTGTACAGATTCTACCATCAGCTGCATAGGTTCAGGGCCCCTGTGAAAGGAAAAATCCAGCGAACTTCTCTCCTTGAACCTCATCTAATTGCACCAGTTCCAAAGGCAAGCCCACCAGTACAGAGTCTTTGGTGACATAACACCTTTTTGTGGCCAATCTAAAGTCTGATATAAAGAGAACTAAAGCTTACAGATGGGCAATAAAGAACTAGAAGCCATCCAACATTCTATGGTTTCCAAACTTTCTTAAGCATAGTCTCTCATCTAGTTCTAATTATAAAAGCAAATTTTCAGAATAGACTCAATTATCTCTGCTTAATTTTCTGGTAACTATAAGCAAAATAGTAATTAGTTAAATATAGCTAGTGAAAAGTATGTTTCCAATTTTTAGACCCATTTTTTAAAAAACTTATTCTGAAACCTTTTTTAATAGCTATGATATATAGATATTTTAATATATAGTAAATAATATAATATATATAATTAAATAATATATGTTATTTTATTTGGTACTGGGGATGTAACCACTGAGCAACATCCCTAACTCTTGTTATTTGAGACAGGCTCTCATTAAGTTGCTGAGACTAGCTTTGAACTTGTGATCCTCCTGCCTCAGCCACCCGAGCTGCTGGGATTACAGGCATGCACCACCACGCACCGCCAAAAACATTTTTTGAAAGAAACTTCTACTGAAAAGTTTCTGAAGACCAAAGTAGTTGAACACCAACTAGTTGGGTTTTTTGAAGCTTAACAATTTTTACCATTGCAGGTTTCAGCAAACTAAATGCCCTAATGTTTGAACAAAATACAGATGAGATGGACAGGGGGATGGGTGAGCTTGCATATATTGAATGTTTCAGGCTCCCATAAAATACTGCATCTGATGGCTAGAATTTTGCCTTATTCTAGAACTTTCAAAGGTCTTACAATGACAAGTTTGTTTGGACAAAGATAATGTTCTATCATTCTGTTATTTTGAATGCTCATATTACTAGACAGTAAGAGGGTCTGCTAAATTTTTTTCACGGTCCCATTCTCTGCCAGTGCTCTCTGGCTTGTTCTGCTTGGACATTTTTAGTCCTTTATGAACTTGGTGAACACTATTGCTACTGTTTACATTGTTCCCTTGGGCTATTTGTAACAAAGTACCAAGGATTGGATGGCTTATAATACAGAAATTTATTTTCTCCCAGTTCTGGAGACTAGAAGTCCAAAACCAAGGTGTCAACAGAGCCACACTCTCTGAGACTGGGTAGAAGACTTTCTTGCCTCTTCCTGGCTTCTGGTGGTAGCTGTCATTCCTCAGTGTTCCTTGGCTAGTAATTATCACTCAGGTCTCGGCTTCTGTCACCACAGGATTCTCCTTGTGTGTCTCTGACTTCATGTCGTGTTTTCCTTTTCTAAAGACACTAGATAAATTATTTCTGTGCAGATAGCATTTGTCCTGTAACCACTCAGGTTTTGTCGAAAAGAGAATAATCAAAGTAGCAGTTAGTAAAAACAGATCAATTTCTACCAATCTAGTAACACACTCCATTTCTCAGATGTGGATCTTGGGGTTTAAAGGGGTCAATATTAAGGGGCCTGTTTATCCTGACCCTTGGAGGTATTCAGAATACTTCTCCACAAATAAATAAGCACACTCAACTTTTGATTTGTTAATTAAACAATATTAATGTCTGTGCAAAGTGCTGTGCTAGGCATTGGAGTTAGATAGTAGGCAGGAAAAGCAAGCTTTTAGTCAAAACATTGGATGCAATGACAATATATAAATTTCAAAACTGTATTTCCCTTTCAGCTGTTATGGAGGACTTGGGAGATCTTGTCTTGGTAAGAAACATATTTTCATGATAATATTTTTAACCTCAAAGTAGGTAGACTTCTGTTTGATCCACATTACAAGCAAAAGAAGTCATAAAAGACTACATATCATATGACCATTTATGTGAAATGTCCAAAATAAGCATATCTATAGAAACAGATCACTGGTTGCTTAAAACAGAGATTAATGGGGTAATAGAAAGGTGTGATAGTGAAAAGGCACACGACTTGTGTCTAAAGTGACAAAAATGTCCCAAGATTGACTGTAATGATGGTTGCCACATGTAAATAGACTAAAATTTATTGAATTGTATACTTTAAATTGAGTCTTCTATACTTGCTACCTCCAACCTGTGTGCAGCTGAACCTAAGATTGCTAGTGCAAATTTGCAAGGACACCAAATACAGACACAAATTACCTTTACACAAGCTTCAGGATGGCTTCTCCACTTTCGGCCTCAGGCTCCCCAAGAGGGAGAGCAAGAGAAAGGAGAGAGAGAAAGAAGGGGGGGGGGGGGGCGGTGTAAGGGAGGGAAGGGGAAGGAAGGAGGGAGAGAGAGATCACCTTCAGAAGTGAGCTTTCACTGAGGGGACTCTTGTTCTTTAGAAAGTTCTATCCAAAAAAGGCCAGGAGAGGCAGGGATAAGAGGGAAAGATGAGTGTAACTCAACCCCGGGGGCACATCCCACAAAGAAGACCATCTTACTATCCTAGCTAGAATCCACCCTAACCAGAACGAATGTAGTAGTTGCATTCAGAATCTGAGACATAAGGACTGGAAGAATGTCATTCGTTGTGGCTCCCCACATATACCAACATAAATCTAGTTAGATATCAAATGTTTTACCCTATCTCTAGTTTTTTAATAATATATTATTTTTCTGGCATGTTCTCTTAGTAGCTGCTTGTCTCCTTCTATACCTATCTGACACTGTGTCACCTCAGCAAGCCATAGACAGCCTGAGAGATGTAAGAGGATCTGGGGCAATACAAACCATAAAGGTGAGACACTTGACTCTTACTGTTTGGTTGCAGTTAGGGGCAGTCTGTTATAAGGACAGTGTAATATACAACCAAAGGGCACCAGATGAAAATCCAAAGCATGCTACTGGTCAAACACACTTATTTTTTAAATTTATGTTTAAATATAACCAAGATATCTACAAAAGCTCAGTATTTAAAAAAATAAAGAGATTTTTAAACTTTCTACTTTACTCTTTCAAGATCTATCATTGCAGTTTTTTTCCCCCATTCAGTTCTAGGAATGGATCATCTCACTTGGAATAATGATAGTTACTATAAATTTGATTAAAAACTAAAGATCCTATTATATCATCAAAACATTGAACAAAGATTAATAGTTTAAAAAATGTAAATCAGTACTAATTGTCTTTAGCCATGGACCTCTTCTACATTTACCCTGCCCTTAATACTTCAAAAACATTGCAGTAGCAATGCTAAAGATATTATATATTAATCATGATACCAAAAAGAGTCTGTGATTTCACTTTATTTGTAGAACTATGATGCTAATTTTGCCTTCTTTTCCCAAGTACCCTGTCTCAGCTCTAGGACTAGAAGGGGGGTGCGAAAGAATCCTGGCCATTAAAGCAGCTTCCTGGGCTTGAAAGTCCATCTTCCCAGGGCTGGGATGGGTATATAACCTAGTATCATATATGGTGAATTACTGTAATTATTGATAAATTCACCAAGCAACTTGATTCTCAAGGATTAAATAAGGTCATTCACAAAACAATCTATACAAGGTCTGCTTCACAGTATACATTCTGAAAAGAGAATTCCCCTTATTTTAAAATCAAGTGTTTCAAATTCAGAAAGTTCAACTCTCTTTGAAACAAAATATATGGGCTGATATATGAATGAATATGCCTGTCTTCCATATTTAATACTGGAAAGAATGAAGCCCACACTATTATGAGCTGTCAATTCATTACCTGGGCATTCTGTGGCAAACTAGTTTTAACCATCTTTGTGCCAATGTAAGTTGGCAGCACATGGTTTCAGTGTCTCAGGAATGCATACCATCGACTTAAGACTGAAGCAGGAGGATAACAGCCTAGGCAACTTTGTGAGACCCTGTCTCAAAATTAAAAAACAGAAAGGGCTGGAGATGTAGCTCAGTGGTAGTGCACCCTCAATTCCCAGTACACACACAGACACACACACACAAAAGGAATAATATGAAATGATTGGCAGAGTGAAAATACCCTTTGGGAAACTATTTAAATATCAAATAAATTTTAAAAATCTTTTATTTTGCTTATCTGTGTGATTAGTGATGTTTGGTTTTAAAAAATATTCTCTAAGAATTGTTTCAGGTAGAATGTATCATCACAAAAAGCAAGAGACAGAGGCTTCAATAACTCAAGATTTTCTTGAATATGCCATTATTATTTTTTATTTTTTAGTTATAGGTGGTAAAAATATCTTTATTTTAATGTGATGTTGAGGATGGAATCCAGTGCCTCATGTGTAGTAGGCAAGCACTCTACGTCTGAGCCACAACCCCATTCCTGAATATGCCATTATTAATTGCTATAGAAAGTGCCTTCTCCTTCCTTATTTCACAGGGAAAAAGCATTAGCAAATATTTACTGCTTTTAATTTTACTTAGTTCTGCCAATATAGAGAGAAAGGATTCTATAAACTTATAAAACATTCATCCAAATTTCATGCTTTCAGATTTTGAGATAAACTTCCCCAAGTTACAAATGTTTTCTTAGCCAAAAAGATGTAGAATTGCTCTTAGCAGTTGTTTTTTGATTCATTCCTCATTCCTGCTAGTATTGTGTATACTTTGGTAACTAGTTTTCTACAATGTATTTCAGTATATTTTTACTTTTTGCAGCAATATAATTATCTTCATGACTTCCGGGATAAACTAGCTGCATATCTATCATCAAGAGATTCACTATCAAGATCTGTGTCAAGATAAAGAGTTTCAAATAGCATATATGTATATGTGACCATGTCTGAAATTTGAGTTCTCTAGCATCATTTGTGTTGAAACCAAACTACCAGTGTTATCCACTTCAATGTAAATGTATATATGCAGATATCCCTAAAGCCTTTATTGACAAAATTGTCTCTTTCACTCATAACACACAGACAGAAAATTTGGTATAGTTTTCCTTTTAGAAATATACTGGCTGCTCTGGTATATTTTACCTATGCTGGGAAAAAAATACATGCAAATTTGTATTATTTATATGTCTGTCTCATTTTTCTGCCGGTTACTATGAGTTGGCATTTGGCATTGGAAGTATGAAGTTTTTGTATGAGTACCCACGCTGAACTTTTAAGTAACTTTCACTCTCTATTCCTCCTGAAATTCTTCCATTAGTTTTTCTACTTCATAGACTTCTAGCATTGTAAGAGATCTCCCAGCACTGGATCAATCAAAACAGGTATTTACCAACATCTGTTGGGATTTTTTTTCAGAGATAAGGAATTCATTAGTTCAGACAGTTGCTCCATTTTTACAGCATTCATTTTTCCACCCTAAAAACTACACAGAATGAATTTTAGTCCTCCTTTCACTTTCACAGAATATTTGGCTACAGATTAATAATCTCTTTCTCCCATTCCTTCACCTCACCGCATACTACTGAAATATTTTCTTTAAATGAGCTACCCGATACAATCATTTGGGCCATAAACAAGGATCATTTGGGTCAAAGCCACCTCTTTCCACAGATATTGATGGTTTCAGTACCACACCCATACATAGGTCCATGGCTTTCTTGGCTACTGGAGATCACAAAAGTGAATCAGTGCTCATTGGCTATTACCAACAGGCTGCAAACTCATAGGCAGTTCTACAGAAGACAGTTTCATCACATCAAAATTTAAATAATCATAAGGTGCCCCAAAGTTTTCCTTTGTCTCACACTCTTCTTGCTGATGAAATACTTGAATTTCATTAAGAAAAACTCCTCAACAATTACCAGCGCTATTTGTGAACTTCAGACAAGAGCACCAGTATGTTCTATAATACAAAATCAATATTTTAATACTTTTATATATGCCCTGTTGCTAGAACTTAATATTTTATTAATATTAAACAAGATGGGTGTTCCAGATATTCCACCAGTATTTAATCTTTAACCTAGATTTCTTATCAGATCATAAATGCCAAAAGTTATAGCTAACGCAGTTTTTGTTTATTTACTTGTTTGTTTGCTTAAGAGTATAGGTTGCAACAACAGATTGGCCTTCATTATTTTTGTATTACAACGAAGTACAATTTAAAATCACGATACCTGTAAAACTTTAGACTAAAACTGACATTTACAAATCTAACATTACCAATCTCCTCATATAAATACAGAGCTTACTCATGAATACTAGGGAAAAAATTGGCATGGATTAATCAAATCCTTTAATAATCAATTGAATTTTCAAAGTGCATGCATCTTAATTTCCATAACTGCATATTAAACCTTCTGTATTCAAAATGCTTGACTAAATTGTTTTCATGCCAAGTATATAAGAAAACATCAATTATTCCACAGCAAGGAAACAAGGCATGACACTATTCTGAAATAAAATTGTCCAGTTAAGTTTACTAACCTGTGATTCCGATATTCTAGGAAAAGTATTTTCTCTGCCCAAACTGTGTGACAGCCTTCAAAACAACGGGGTGGGAAAGGTGAACACAAACTAGCTGTATTTGATGATATTAACACACAGACTCAACCATTACCCATGAATTACACAAAGAAATATTTGAGACTGTTTTTATTAAATGTACAAAAGCAAAATAACCAGCTCTAAGGATAGTAGGGCTACTTAAGAGCATTTTCTTTGGACAGTGATACAGCACCACCAAGCTTAAGATTTTAACAAATTGTGAGCATACAGAGCTAACCACATTTTATGTTTCTCTTGGTAGTTTTAGGGTCTATCTAATTATCAATCTATTTAAGAAATTTTTCTTCTCCAGAATACATAAACATAATCCAAAGAAACTGTAATATTTAGAAAAAGCATTATAAAATATAATTAACATGAGAGATGCAATTTATTCCTTTACAGGTCAAGATGTCTTCTATATTTGTACAATGTGCACTAAGAACATTAATGCAGAACAAAAGCCTCACTCCAACACTGCTGACTGGTATTCGTACGTGGTTAATACTATTTTCCAAAACAAAAAGTTATTTACTTCTTTTTTAGACATTTATCTTTCTGAATCTTAATCAAAGTAAAATTGTTCTAAGAAATATAGTCAGTATATCCAGAAATAGAGCCACGCTTTTTCTCTTGGCATCACTCTGGGGTATTAGTTCAGAACCATCTCCTCTAAGTTTTACAACTAGTACCAGAGACTTTCTAGCCACTGGTCTGACTAAAGATCAATGATGGGTTTGAGCAAAGAACTTAAAATTATTTGAGACTAACAGTTTTCAGAAAGGATGAACATGAGTACCTTTATGAACAATGTTTGACAAGGTACCAGTATTTCTCTTTCCTCTCTAAAATGAGGGAAATTGTTTTTTAATATAAATCATTATTTGAATGGGCTTAATATATCATAGTGCTGTGATATTTTCACACCTAAAATGAAAGCTCACCCATGCAGAGTAGAAAAGATATGCAGATGTCACTTTTTGCTCCATGACAATAATATTCTGAGCAGTATTCATAAATATATAATTAGAGAAGTGTTATATAAAGAAAAATATTTTGCCACATAGTTTTATTTCCTTTCTATGCAAATATAAGACATACCTTCAAAGTATGTTGATATAGGGAGCAGAGGAGAGCTCTATAAGCTCTTAGCATGAATGGTCCTCAAGTTGAAAAATACTGAACAGACTTTCAAAGAGAATCATGCAGCAAACTGCCCTGTACTTTGTTGCCTGAGAAGAGATCATTATCACAAATGTTTTACTAATACTCGAAAGAGATTTATCTGTTCATTTCCGATTACTTTCCCTTCCCATTAAAAATAACTCAAACTTCTTATTAACAATTTGTCTATAGCCTGGAGTGAAACTCTCCTTTACCCTACAATGAGGAGTGAAGGGGATCAGTTAAACATTGTGAAAACCATCAAATGTCATTAATAACATTTAGATACAGGTATTCAATAGTTTCTACCCCTACGTCTACTCAGTACTAAAGTGACCTATTACCATGATATAGTATTACTCAACAGAATAACTGCTAAACAGACTACATTAATAAGACTTTAAATTCCAGAGACTCTGTAGTATCCATAGCAACAAAGAAGTGTTGGTCATAGCTATAAATGTAGTTACACTAGACGTAATAAAGTAGGTGCAAATAGGGAAAACATCTGAGAGCTACAGAGTTCATAAAGATAAAATGAAGCATATAATATCAAAAGTAATTGTAATAAGGAAAAAATTAAAAGAGTAGGCATTTGATATAAACTGGAAAGATTATAAATCTAGGCTAACTATGCTTCAGCTGAACCTACAGGAATAATAGAAGTAAGACTAGGGCCATCCCAAACAAAGAAGAGAACAAACCCAATTCAGAGCAAGGAAATGAGCCAGTAGAATATTGTCAGGTATAGTATTGTTTCTGCTTTCACAAAAAAAGGCAAAAGTGGGCAGATATTATTAGAGCATCCAGGTACTCAATCATTTAATCACTTATTGCGTAGGCACTAACAATCTACCAGTGAAATGGATGAACCTCACTGTGGAGATCCTTGAGGATTCAGATGAGGACATTGAATTTTTGACAGCATGAAAACAAGAAGCTTTTCATTAATCCCAGAGAAGATTATAGATTATTATAAGGATTTTGCTAAAACTTATAAAACAAAGTAGTATTTGCTAAGAGAGCAGGGGGTTCATAAAAATACTTTATGACAGGAATACTAAAATTACAGTCTCAGGAAATCTATCTGTATTGTAGACTTGGCCAGATCTTCCATAATCAAAAGTACTTATTGGGGAATGGGGAGTGGATGCTGGTACAATTAAATGGATTAGAAACTAAATGACTGCATGAATCTTCAGTGCCTAGTAAGTGCTCAGTAAATAATTTACTGCACAAACTGAAAAAGTCAGTTCCCTTTAGTGGTTCTCCAGACTATAAATTAAAAGGCCATTAAAGTTTTCCTTGTTATGAAATGGTTTGACTCTTCTCACCCTTCTGGTTCTACATTTTCTTATTCAATGTACTCACCCGAATTACCCAATCCCAAAATGTTACGTTACTCTCACAAAAGTGAAGGAGGATTATTTCCAAGCATTTTTTCATTTGTAGAGAATAAAATAGCAACTAATACAAGAAGTTCTTAGAATCAGACTTCCACAACATCCATCAACCTCCTTGGTCATTCTGGGAATTTCCACTTATTGGTTATCTTCCTTTAATGCTATGCTCAAGAAACTTCTGAACCACTTACATTATTTCCCATTGCTTTAACTTTCTCATCCCAAATAAATCAGAAGAATGCTCACAAAAGCATACTAGCCATAATTTACTTTCTTCATGAAAAGCAGCAAAAACTCAAAATTTATGTGTCATTTTACCTTAAAATGAGCCATTTCAAAAAGAAAAAATTTAAAATATTTTAACTGCCACAATAATTTTTCTTTTTTAATTGGCAAGAGAAAGGATAATGCTGCACCATCAATAGTTAGGAATCTTCTCAAATGACAACAGAGATAACGTGCTTGGCCATTTAAAGATCTGGGAATTTTTAGAAAAACTATAATGTAATAATACTCTATTTTTTTCAATGATATTCATGTCTCTAATATGGATCAAGCAAATGTGAGGAATAGCTATTTGTAATCTTTAAAACAATGCACTGAAAATGAGTCAATTTCAGAGTTTTATTGTATTGCACTAAAGGAACAGCAGGATGGTTATACAATTCTCTCTCGTCGTTTTGAAAATCTAAAGTACTTGCAAATTCTTAAGAATACCTTTACCACCAGATTAAAACTGTAAGCATAATATAACCAATTTCTTAATAAGTAATGTCTTACAAATAAAAACACATTTAAAATAGCTTTAAATGCATTCTTCACAAGTAATTCAGTATATATTTTTATATCACGTTCACTTATGCTTAAGAATTAAAGCAAGTATATTACTCTGATGGAAATATGGGAAATCTTTCATTCATGCAATATACAGGGATAATATTCAAGTTGAAGGGAAAAATTCCCACTCTTCTTATTTTTGTAAATGTATCCATATATAATCATCTACATGAT